GGTCAAGGCAGGGCATTCTGCCTCTGTACTCTGCTCGTGAGACCCCCCTGCAGTACTGCCTTCAGCTCTGGGGTCCTCAGCACAAGAAGGACATGGACCTGTTGGAGCGAGTCCAAAGGAGGCCACGAAGATGATCCGAGGGCTGGAGCACCTCTCCTATGAGGACAGGCTGAGAGAGTTGGGGTTGTTCAGCCTGGAGAAGAGAAGGCTCCGGGCAGACCTCACAGCAGCCTTCCAGTGCCTAAAGGGGCCGACAGGGAAGCTGGGGAGGGACTTTTTACAAGGGCATGGAGTGATAGGACAAGGGGCGATGGCTTTAAACTGGAAGAGGGAAGATTTAGATGAGATGTAAGGAAGAAATTCTTCCTGGTGAGAGTGGTGAGGCACTGGCAGAGGTTGCCCAGAGAAGCTGTGAATGCCCCATCCCTGGAAGGGTTCAAGGCCAGGTTGGATGGGGCTTTGAGCAACCTGGTCTGGTGGAAGGTGTCCCTGCCCAGGGCAAGGGCGTTGGAACGAGATGATCTTTAAGGTCCCTTCCAACCAAAGTCCTGTGGCCTTTCTGCTTGGAGATGTAGAGGCATTCATGGTTGCATAAAAGTTGTGATCGAGACATCTGTTCTAAGGGATTTCCGAATTTGTTAATGGGACTGTGGCTATGTCTGTGTTGCATGTTCCAGCATGTTTACATCCAAACTTCTTTTGGTGTCTGAGCTTGGCTTTTTTAGTTAGCTGAGGTGTTTTTGCATTTGCAACAGGCAGCATAAAAATACCCTAAACTAAAGGTCTCAGCAGCTTCTAGACACCCTGTCTGAGCCAGCAGAGATAGTTAGCACTATATGAGTTAGGAACACTTTATTTTTTAAACTGTGCTAGCAGTGTGAGGTGCACTTCCCTGCCAGCAAGGGTTAAGTGAATTTAACACAGGAAAGAGATGAAATGAGCTCTGATTTTTAAATTTTTTTTTTCTTTTAATTGGAGGAAGGGGAGGGACAACTAATGAACATTGATCAAATTAATCCAAGAAAATTTCACTTTACTTCTAAAGTTTGGTTACTGAACTCTCTTCCTACCCTGTGGTGCCGGTGCAAGGATGGGCTGGCAGAGGGACTAGGCTGGCTCTCCTCACTGACAAAAAAAAGCAAAACTCAGTAGTGGCGATTAGAGCTGCTGCTTCTCAGCGTGTGAAGAAAAGAGCTACAATTCATCATTCACACTGTCATGTGAAGCTACAGAAAAGTAATTAGCAGGTAAAATGTCTATTAATAGCTCCCACCACCTTTGGTTCGAACACCTGCTGACAAGCTATTACTCTGTGTAGCCTAGCTTCATCAAGTTCTTGTTTTATGATTGCCAGAAGAGACTCCATTAGAGCCATTTCTGTTGAGGTGGGGTGTCTCTGAAGAGACTCTTGCACTGTGGCCTCTCGTTGAGAAAGCGGATGTGTAGACTTGCTTCGTTTCTTGTAATCTCTACAAGCGTGCAGAGATGTCTTTGTGGTTCTTTCGGTGACTGTGAATTTATTTTGGCTAATGAAAGCATAACTTGTGTTAGTGCCGGCTAAATGCAGACTAGGCGAAAACAAAGAATTGTCTCCTTTGCCTGCAATTATCTTCTTACGGTGCTTGAAAATAAATGTGGTACGTTTCTGAGAAAACCATTTGTTAATAGTATATTATCACATATAAAGTGTGATTAAACTTGGCAGTTATTATTTGAGTAAGCTTTTTTCCAATATTAGAACATGCAACTCTTTGTTTGTTTTTAATGTAGGCCAGAAATTTTAGTGATAAACAAGGTGGGGATTTTGTTAGCTTGACTGCTGCTTTAGGATCCTTCTACTTGAAGGCTTCAATAAACACAGCTGCCCAAAAATATATTCTGCCTGAAATTTCTCTCTGTATTTTCCATGCCTGGCTTTCTGTTTCATATTACAGGTGGAGGCTTTACTGAAATCAGTGCCATTCCTCACTTAAGACTGAATTTTATATGTAGCTTAGGCATTACATCTCTCTTTCTTGTTTTTTTTTTTATCTTAAAGAACACACACACACTTGATGAATATGTGTGAAAATAGACTTTGTTAACATTGTCTCTTTCTTTCCACATATCTGATGGTGAAAAGAGACATCTGAAAAAGAGCGTCTGTAAGTGGCTGTCACTTGAAATGTTAACAAGAGGCCACTAAGCTTTTATAGGACCTGATTTTCTGAAGAAGCATATACATAAACGCAGCCTGTTTTCCTGTTGTAGAATAAATTTTTGCGTATTGTTTCGCTCGGTCCCCAGTGTTCAATATTGCGGGTTTTCTTTTTGCTGATGATTTCCTTTCTGGTGGGATTGGAGGCCTGTACGTTGCCCGTCAGGGTTCCCGCTGTGGCGTGCAGGGCACAGCACCGCAGGCGGGCACTCCAGCCCCCACCTCTCTAAGTGGGTAGGGTACAGACAAGGTGACGAAGCAGGGGATGGAGAAAGAGAGGCCAGTGAAATAACTTGTGGTTGTTGAGGAGGGGTGTTGGGATCCAGCCTGGGCCTCAGCGCGGCCTCCCCCAGCTGTGGGCCCTGCGCACGGCCTGGCTGCGGAGGTGCGCCAGCGCCCAGGCCCGGCCAGCTCCTTCCCTGTGCCCACCCCAACTGTAGCTTACCTTGTGGGTTTGAAGGTGAGCGCGGAATTTGGATAATTGCACTCAGCTTCTTAGGAACAGCCCCCTGAATTACGTTCTTCAACATTTCAGTGTGTCAGAAAGAGGGAAACCCCGTGAGGAGCCCTGTGTCCAGCCTCCAGTTTGCAGTTGTTGCCCCCGTGTTTAGGGGAGGAGAGCACCATGTTGCGTGGGTGTCGTGGGGCTCGCTTGTGGTGGGGTTTGGTTTGGCCGATCTGTAAGATATTTTGTGTGAGGTATCTTTCATCCAGAATATCTTTAGTTTGTTTCTTTCCCTGTTGATTTTGCCAAAATGAGCTAGATGCTCAGGAAGCAGGATGAAATAAGAACAAACCTGGTATTTTTTTTCAACTTACTCCTATCCAGTCCTCAATCTCCATCATGCTCTCTCAGCCACAGAAACCACTGAAAACTGCAGCAAAAACAAATTAATTTTTATCTGATGTTTATCTCTTTACTTTGGACTGATTTAATAAGTTATTAGTTATGAGCTGTTTAGCTGCATAATAAAGTAAGTTTTACTTTTCCATCCCAATTTATTGTTTTCATCTTGTAATTTTTTATTTATAACCTAACTCTATCTGTTGCATAATTGCTATTGAATATTTACATGGTGGAAAAGTCACTGCCCAAATACACAGTTTGTCTAATTGGGAACTGAACGTGGTGGCAGAGGACAGCACCCATGCAGAAACTGTGTGGTTGAGAAACACGCCCACAAAGCCTTCCTTGCCCAAAATATGGACGTTCACAGAAGTTACAGTAGTGGTTTTTAAAGCACAACCATTAGCATATGGTCACTTCCCACTTAAACCGAGTCCCAAAGTGCATCCTCTGCTGCGGAAAGATGGCTGTTGTTCTTACACCTCCCTTGTGAAGTGTGTTTGGTTTACAAGTGCAAAGAGGGGCTGGCTGGCAGAGGGCAGACAAGCCGTGTGCTGAAGTCTCTCCCTTCCATGAGGATCTCCCATTTGCTTGGGAGTGAACGTTGTGGGAGGGCTGGGGGCTCACCAGGGCTAGCTTCACTGTCATGTTCCTGCAGTCCCTGTGTAATTAAAGAGGAGATTAAGTTCATTTAGTAGATGGTTTGGATTAGGAGCATGACAACTGCTGTAAATAATCATCCCCCATCCCTCATTTCCTATAGAAAAAGACTAAGGTAAATAAGCTTCAGTCGTCTTAAATTAGCATTGGCAAACATATCCCCTTCTCCCAGCTCTTCTCTTTGTGGACAGATTAGCATAGGGACCAAACCGGGGGCCAGGGAGGAGAGCTGGTGAGGTCAGGGGGTGTCGTTGGGAAGTAGATTTTTCTGTGTGCAGCTGAGAGGCTTTCTGCATCCTATTTGATCATCATTTGGGTAGGAAATGGTCCACCTTCAATAGTAAGTAGCCCTTTCCATCGTCAGCTGAAGAAGTTGTGAGCACCTGACGTTATAACCCTGTGATGTGGTTGAGGCGAGGAGCACCTTCAGAAGTCCCATCTTTCTCTTGGAGGAATAATAAGCTCAAGTCTACGCAATTCCTTATTCCTTTACAAAGGCAAAAAAAGATCTCTATTGAAACAACTCTTATTATTCTTTGCATTTGTGAGGAAAACAAATCTATTCTAGAAATAACAAATCACTGATGGTATTATATGGTAATTGAACATTAAATTAGGGCATTGTCTAGTGCTGTTTCAATAATGTTTGTATATTTGAAGGATTTTCAAGTACCATTTGTTAATATTTCTGTGTAATTATTTCTGTCTCTGCACAGCTGAGGAATGTAATTTAAGTTTAAGGGATTGACTCTTAAATGGAAGCACAGTTTATAACATCACTTTAAAAAGGCAACATAGACATTGAGCAGGGTAACACTGTGTTGTCTGGTCTGTGATTCTGGTGGTCCTTTACTGCTAACAAGAATAAAAATAGGGTAATGAACATGCTTCCTTCACTGAAACCAACAACAGCAATTTAGTGTCACACAGTGTCCATACTGCGTACTTCTGCAAGCCCTCTTGCCTAACAGGATCTGAGGAATTGGTGTGAGTACGGACATGAGGACATCAGATCTACTGAGAGAACCGTCTGATCTGCATCATTTTGTGATGTTTTTCTCAGTGCGCTTAAAACCAGCTAAAAGATCACTCATAATTTTGCTCTTCTTTTGTTCTATTTTTATGCACTTTAGAAACAGAACATGCCATATATTTAAAAACTAATGAGTGGGTGTATTTCTACTTTAATTATTAGGAATGGTTAAGTTTTGGGAGGAAGAGCAGTCTTGCTGTTCCTGGTACTTCATGTTCAGCTGCAAAACTAACTTTCTTTTCTTTGTCTTTTTTTCAATGCAGAACTATGGTTTGGAAACAGAAAATCTAAAAACCCTTTCTCACAAACTGAATGCATCTGCCAAAAATCTGCAGAATTTCATCACTGGAAGGAGGAGGAGTGGTCACTATGATGGAAGGACCAGCCGCAAATTACCGAATGATTTTCTGACATCAGTAGTGGATCTGATTGGAGCAGCTAAAAGTCTGCTGGCTTGGTTGGACAGGTAAAATCTCCCAAATGTGTCACAGGTAACCAGATCATGCACATGCACAAATCTCAACCTCTTTACAAAGTATGATGTAGACATTGAAATGGAAGCAGAATTAATTTACAAATTCTGAGAGGATGTTTGTAGCAATTTTTTTTGTTAAGTCAGCATGCAATTCAGATAGCATTTCAGTGCAGTACTTCTAAATGCACTGCAACTCTACACATATCTGGAAATACAATATAGCAACAGGATGACATCATTAGGTTATATATGTATTTTATTATTAATATAGAACAACACTTTGACCTGCGTAACTCAGATTCATTGCTTTGATAGTATCAGATTCACAAAACTGTGATCATACTTTACATTATATAGGTGTCAGTGTATACTTCCAGTGTGTGTGTGTATGTATGTGTGTGTAAACATGCATGTTGCATTTTGTTTTTTTAAATGGCAGTGAAATACCTCTGAAACTGTAGATGCAATTGGAACTGTCTTATACTTTTACCTCTGTTACCTAGGAAGTATGTGGGACCAGGACTTAAGTGCTCTCCTTTACTATATCTGTAGTGACATTTTTCTAGTAACAACAACAGTAATATGCAGGTATTTGAGATGATCATTGAAACTCCTGAAGAAGTTAAAATTAGTCTACCTGTATGTCTTTCTAAGATGCATCACAGTGCATTTTTATGAGCAAAAATCAAATGCTTATCTTGATTTAAAGGTCTGTCTTATTTAGGATCCAGCAGCTGAAGTTTTTTTCAGAGTATGATCTTTGTGTAATTCTTAGAATCCAACAGAATTATTTGGATTTACTGCTGTGGGTTCTGTTGTGTTTCATTTTTCTGAGGAAAACTGGCTTCTGTCTCATACATGATTTCCATATGAAAGGTTTAGGTGAGGCATGAATCTTTTCCATTTCTTAAGCTGAACTGCAAACTCTTGTTCACTAGATTGCAGCTACCACTGCTGCTTCTTTTCTCCTCCCTTTCTAGCCTTTTGCCAAGTTTCAAAACCAGAGTACCTAAAGTTGGGCTCCTAAATTTCTATTTAGGTGTTTAACATGAGATGCACAGAGAAACAATATGATCTCATGGAAAGACTTTAGTATTAAGACTTGAAAAATTGGGAATGTATTGAGACTTGAAAAATTGGGAATGTATTTGTAGCTCTGCTTCTAGCCTGTTGTTCCTTGGAAGACCTGTAGGCTTCACTTTTTCTCGCTGCGAATAATTTTTGGCAGAGATCAGCATATCATTCTGGGCTTTAAAACAGAAGGAAGAGTAGAAAACCATATTCTTTTGCATAAGTAGATCAGTATTTGCCACTGCTTTCTATTTTGAAATAACCTTGATTGATTTTTCTCATTGGAATTGTGGCTAATGGATAAAGATTGTTAGTTACATAGTTGAGATTTATTTATTTTTTTAAATAGTGTGGTATTAAAAAGTAAACTTTCACATATAGGTATGTTTAACACATTGAAAAAAAAATGTGGGTTTGGCATCTTAATATGAATTTAGTAGTTGAACTTCAGGAAGAAAGTAGTCGTTGATGCAAGGAAACATCTGCATCTGAGCATTAATGTGTCACTGTAGTACAGTGCACTGAGCCCAAATTATGCACTTCTAGTATTAAAGTGCAGTCTGTAAAATTTGTTTGTAGCTCAGAAGTCTGTTGAGAATTACCTCTTAGTAAAATTATGTTTATAAAGGCAGCTATACTGTATTTGTCAGATATAACTCTGTTAGCAGGTTTTAGTGTTGATGGGGGAAGAACTCTAAAATAATTTCTAAAAACATGCATATCAATTCTACTCCCAGTAAAATATGAAATGACTTTTGCATTTATCTGAAATGATAGCTGATCAGACCCAGGAGTTCCAAGAAGTTAAAAATTAGGGCAGCCATGGTGGTAGCCTGCTTTTTTAGCAATGCTGTCTTTAGTGTCCAAATAAGGCTTCCTAGAAGTGATATTTTAAGTTCATTCAGATTTCTGGGAAGGTCCTGTTGAAGATCTGTGTAGCTTAAACACCTAGTTCTAGCAGATGTTTTCTGTAATATTTTAAGACTTTTCTGATCTATGAGTCTGTAGCTATTTTGGTTAGGTTTGTTCTTCCTTCTTTGTGAAGCCCCCAAATTAGGATGAAGGCCGGCCAATGACTGTGTGTTTCTCAGGAAGTGGGAACATCTGGAGAGCAATAGGATTCTGCTTATTATATTCCTTCTTAGAAGCTACTGGGGCCACTAGGGGGAGATAGAAAGATTTTAAAAACAAAGTATTTAAAGTCAGAACATGGATTTTATTTTATTCTACACAGCTGTTACTATTAAATCTGGACCCCAAGTCTTAGTTTGGTTGGTTGGTTTCTGACACCAGTTCCATCTCTGGGGTGTGAGAGAGGAGAGAGCAAACTATTAGGGAGGAATAAAGTGGCTATTAGGGTTATCCACCCCATTGTAACAGACATACTAGACTGCCCCTATGCAGTGTTTTTCAGGTTGCATCTGGAAAAAGCAGCTAGCAGCAACTCCAACTTGCAATGATGTGTTTTTTTTATGTGTGGAATCGTGATGACTCCATAGAACTTGTGCTTCACTTGCAGATCTCTTTTTACAATGTTTCTGTGGGACACTTACAATCTATAAGGACCACGTTAGCCCAGGCACAATTATCAAAAGGAGTGCAAGAGTTGTGATTTGCTGAGTTACTTCCACTATGGCCAATCCAAGGACGCTCTTTGTTCCAGGTCTCTGCCTGGAGCAGTCATACCTCCAGATGTATGTCAGAGATTGAGTTTTACTGAAAATTAGGGTAGCTTTTATTGCCAGGCTTTAAAAGTCTTCTGGTTTAGTTTAATTTAGGAACTAGAAAACTTAGTAGAGAATTCCAGCTATTTTCAGAAGAGGTTGGCTGATGATTTTGAGGAACATGGAATAGGTCTCCAATAACATCCTGTAAAGAAACTGTCATCACACTAATAGATTATGTCCTTAAACTTTTTAGACTGATTTTAACTTCCTGTTACACAAAATCTATCCTCTCTTCCAGAAGGATTAAAAAAAAAAGTTTTGCCTTAATAATGTTTTATTTTCATTTTTTTTTAAATTCTTCCAAGCCAGTTTGCTGACGAGATTGGTGCTTTCTTGGAAGTCTTTTGTGAAAGTATGGTGCATTTCCACTTCACACTTAACATAGCTCTTAGGCTGATGGAAAACCACACTTTAGGCTATAGCAACAAACAACTTACCTGATGCTCAAAGCAACTTGGCATCGAAATGTCTCCAGTGATACCTCTCAGGAGATAGAGAATAATTTATACAGTCATCCAGGTGTTCTAGACTTCCAGTTAGATCATTGGTGTTCTTTTCAGTCTTTATTCCTCTAATTCATGAAAGTTGGATTCTCTGGAATAGTAATATATGCCACCTTTCTGAGTCCTTCTTCTTTGATGTGTCAGGTTCCTAGAAATTATTCTGCCTTGATGGTGTTTATGGTGTGACTGTTTCGTAGTTTTAAGTAAAGAGGAATATTGTTTGCAAGCCCATAACTTCTTATTTGCAAAGAAAGTGTTACTGGGTTAGAGTCTCCTTTGTGAGAGCCTTCATACAGTCCTGTCAGCTGTGCTTGGTTATTGCTTATCCTGACAGGGTAAACCTGGTTTGCACACAAGATGGTGGGGGAAAACAAATGAAAACCCAAACGAAAAGAAACCAAAGAGTTTAGCGATTCTTTACTCACCGCACAAATAATGCACTTTATGTCAGTTGCTTTTCAGTCCTAAAGCTGTGACTCTTATGCTTCATTTGTGCATTTCCCTTTATGCTTGTTTGAATGGTATGCCAAACCTGTCAGGAAGTGCTGCCTAGGAATGCTATGGCTGTACCACATTGTGCTACTGGAACAGCTGTGAAGGTTTAATGGAGCACTCATTTAAAGAATTCCTTTATCCAGTGTGAATTTGACTGCTTCCTCCCTGATTCTACGTAAAGCAGTTCCCTTAGAAATACAAATAAAATGTTTGTTTCGTGAAAGTCTGAAACTATGAATCTTGGATGGATTTGGCACAAATATATATGCAACAATATCGTGCATTCAGACTTTTATTTGAGCTTAATGTGTTACCTTTTAAAGACTGAGTTATATTACTGATTTGGTTACCTCTCTCTTTAAAGCTTTTGGACTATTATCTTTAATCAAGCTGCTCTAAGGATGTTTTCCCTTGTTAGGATGCTAGAATAAGTAAGATACTGGTTTTAAACCCCTCACAATGTCTATTGTTATAAAATAGCTCAGTACTAAAACTAGTGGTGAGATATTGATTAACATTTATTTTGGGGCAATGCTTGTACTAACAGCAGTCTGTCTTTGTCCGGATTGCAACTTTTAAAAGTGAAATAGTTACTTCTGTGTATCATTTGCCCCAACCAAATATTATATGAAGAAGACAGGTGAGGAGGCTAAAGCATATGAGGCTGAAAATGTTGATAGTGTTGAAATACCAAGTGTATGCATCTCCTTCACAGTACACATATTTTAAAAAATTGTTTGGGAAGGATTTTCCTTCATGTGCAATCAGTAGTTGTGAGTATTATTAGCTGTTGAATCATATGATTTCTTAATTCTGTGAGGCAATTAGCTGTGCTATATTGATGTAGCTGTTTTTTCTACCAGTCCTTCAGGGTGGCTTAATTAATTAATGTTAGATAATACAATTTCTTTTTCATTCTGAAATATGCTGATCCTGCTAAAGATTTTAATTAGGTCTCAGTTCATAAAAGTGTATACATATATGCATGTGTGTTACAGCCTGGATTACACCTGTATAAACAAATTCATGTTGCAGAGGAGCTTTATTATTTATCTCAAATACTAGTTTAAAAAATCTGAAAAGAACCAGTATTCTGTCATGCCTGGTGTTAGGGAAACCTTATTTCCTCTAGATTAGGGTCTTGAAGTTGATTTACCTTAAGGTTAGGAGGAAAAAAAAAAAAGTAAGCACCAATTGTAAGGTTTTTTTGAATGAGGCATTTAGAAGCTCTTCATCTTGCTGGAATCTGTGGTGCCTAATAAGGTGCAGGCTCACAATGTGGGTTTGCACAGTGGAAAAATTAAGAGGCTCCCACTTTGCCAACTGTATGCATGATTGCAAAACATGTAAGAACTTAATTATCCTTGAAACCTATTACCCACCTATTTGTGGAAGTGGTTTGAAAATGGCTAATGGCTTCAAATGTTGGAAAGGAGAAGGCAGGAGAAAAGGTGAGAAGGAGAGCAAAACCAGCCTGCAGATGTGTGCAGAAGCATTGATGCGATTGCATAAATCTACTTTCCTTAAGATATCAGATGTGGAAGGGGGAAGCTAGCAGAGATCTGGAAGAGGAGATGAATGGAAAGGGCATGTGATCAGGTAGGTGCACTGGGGGCTACAAAGGGGTTTTCATGTGGGTGTTGCAAAGGAACAGAATCACAGGGAGGTTTTGAAGGAAGAACAAATAAACTACAAGGGAAACTGAGTAAAAAAGGTTCTATGAATAGGGAAATGTATATTGGAAAAGGTATCGGCAATGACTGAGAAGGGAGACAATGGGACACTGAGGTCAGTGTCACAGCAGGAAGTGGGGCAATGTATGGGCTCAGTCCAAGGCAGTTCTTTAGTTCTCGTTTAACTTAAAGATCACTGAATTGGACAGCACATGTGTTGAAAATTGCAGTTGTTCTCGGGGGCTTTTCTTCACTGGAGCCATAGGAGGTACCTGAGATTTGAAGGTCGAAGGGACTGCAAAAGATGTGGCTTTGAAAGAAAAGAGTAGAAATTGGAAGCTGATAGAAATGGCTCAGCCAAGCCAAGGAAATAATTTTTAAAAAGTAGAGAGAAGTGGTCTAGTTAAACAAGGAATTCCTTTTACTTGGTGTGTTTCTGATGCCTTGAAGGAAAGTGTTTTAGCAGCCAATTGAAAAATTATAGTGTATGTAGGCTTTATTTGCATTTACACATATTGTTTTGTCTGTTCAGTCAATAATATTGTGCTGTATTAAAATTACAATCAGTGGATATATTATCAATGAAGAGGTGTTTTGTCTGATTGGTGTTTCACGTGGTGTCTTTTATGAAATCCAGTCAGTGATCCTACAATGAAGTTTCTGTTGATATTTTGATTGAAACTGCTGTCATCTTGTTATAGGAAGCCTTGCGGGACTTTCACTGTTGAAACTGAGGCTTGGGATGTAGTACCAAAACACATTTCCTTTGGTAGTAAATATTTAAAGAGGCCCTTAGTATTTCCTCAGCTGCTTATGCAGTAGTGGCTGTGTAGTTGTGCGTGCAGATTGTCTCCAGGGAAGTGGTCTGAACTGGGGAGGGGGAGGAAAGGGCATTGCAGTTTTACTGGTCCAATTTGCAGCAATACCCCAGAGAGGCATCAGCAGAAACTGGTGTGAAGGAGTTGGTTCATAGGCTACAGAGACCTACAGGGGATGCAGCTTGAGGACTCCTTATGTTTTCTGCAGGAGCAAAGTCCACATAACATGGACCTGTCTTCTTATCTTTCCAAGCTGTGAAGCACTCTTCAAAATATTACATATTAGTTATTGATTTTTAGTAGTCTTCTCCCTCCTGCTGGCACCCTTGCTGCCTGCTTCACATGCTGTTTCCAGTAAATCTTGACTGTAGAAATTGCACTATAACAAAAACGAGTAATGTCTCAGTCCCTTTGCCTGCTCTTTAATGTCAACAAAATTTATTTGGGGCACTTCTAATGATCTTCACTAAGAGCAATAATGGTAAAAATGTCATTATTTTCCTCATGAACCGTGAAACCAAACTAAATTGTAAAAATACAAGGGAGGATGATGCAGTATTAGAAGCCAAAGCCTACCATGCGATTTTATTTAGAGAAATGCTGGAGGCTTTGAAATGTCAAATAGATTCCAGTTGTGTAATTTGAAGATCAAATTGTATTAACATCTATACTTAAAGTAAAATAATACCGTTTGCTGGCTTGATTCCATTCATCTTCAATAAAAGTGAATTCATAAATGAACATGACCTTTTTAAGTCAAGGTTTCAGGTAGACTTCAGAACGTCGACAGTTACAGTTTTGAAAGGAAAAAATCAGTGGTTTTGAACATCTTGGCTAATATACTTTTAAAAACACAGTTATGGTTCATAACCAAGCAGTTCAGTTACCTTTTATCCTTTAATAAGCTCAAATGTCTCCTGAACTTCAGTAATAATCTGTGCATGTGTCTATGGGTAGACCTGCTGTAGTGTGTACCTACTGTACAGTTGCCATATACTGCATAAAACTTGGACTTCGAGTTGTGATTGTACATCTATGTCAAAGAGCTTTTGTAAGGCACCTTTTGGAACTTACCCACTTGCTGTCTACTAAGTCCTTGCTGTCTTGTTGCTTTTATGTTTCTTAAACTCTGCCTAGCTTCCAATTTCTGTACCTTTATTTTAAAATGAGTGTACTGCTTTTCTCCCTGGAAAACACGGGCAGAGGGTCTATGTTGTTGCATGATATATTGCATCAAAATAAAACTGCTAGACTTTAGTCTGCACTGCAAAGTTCATCCTATTTTATGAACCATCAGGGCTGGATTAGGGGCCCTGTAGAAGAAACAGGGCATTAGAAGAACGAGGTGGAGATAAGGCTGTTCACATGGATTTATTAATGGACAGTTCCAAATCTGCCTGCACTAAAATTTCAGTAATTCTACATATAGAAAAGAAATTTGGAAACCTATTAAGAACCAGTAGAGCTATATTTGTAGTTATCACTTGGACATGCTTATAGCAGAGCTCTTTGTACTGGAAACTTGTCTCTAGGCTTAAATGAGGAAGGCATAATACCAACCAGCACTGTAAAACTCTTAAAGGTATATATGAATGTGTATGCTCTAAGAAGTGATGAGAGAAGGCAGTTGGGGAAGGGACTAGTCACCTATCTAAATTTGAAGGCAACTGCACTTAAAGTATTGTTTAGAGATCTTGGCACATTGCATGGTCTATTGTTAGTTTATTCAGACATTACAATCCTTGTGGTTCTTTGCCACCTTTTTTTTTTTTTTTTTTAAAAAAAAATAATGTTTGAAGCAGGTATATTAGGGAGAAGTGTCATCTTTGTGATGGTAATAACGCCCATAAAAACCTTACTTGCCACACTGATGAAGTCAAAATCTTGACACCTCTTGGAGAGAATACCAGTCCTGTCTAGTGTTTGACTACTTCTTGAATATAGAAAATAGGCCAAATTTATAGTCTAACACAGACTTGTAGTACAGAAATCAGATGACTGCGAGCCTCACTAACCATTTTAGCAGCGCCTCTAGAAAGCAAGCAAGCTTTCTAGGTAGGCAAGCATTTTGAACATTCTGAAGTTTTAAGGTGTAGGATACATGTAGGTGATGTCTCTAAATGCTGGATTACACTTTTCATTTCACTGAGCGTTTCCGATTGTAGCACAGTGTGGGGGGATGTTATGTTGCCAGTTTAGCCTTTGCAGCTGCTTCCGAGTGTTGATGCATCTCTGGCTCTAAATGCTATCCTCCCCTTTGGATAAAGATTTTACTTCTTCTGAGTCCCTCCGGTACTTTTACCAGATATTAGATCAGGCCCCACGAATCCCAGTGAATCAGCCAAATGCTTTTCTGGTCTGATTCACATCTGGACACCATTCATATCACAGGTGGAAGCGGTGCCTCTGATTGCCTTTCTGAGGGTATTCCCAAACAAATGCAGAAGGCAAGGTGGGTTTTTCTGGGGGAATAAAGGCAGTCCAGAAGTGAAGTGGAAGGCTGTGAGAAATAATGCTTTTATAAATGGAATTTCTTAAAGAGGAACTTAAAAACTGCAAAACCATGGAGAGGTGAGAATTTTCCATGGATATGTATGCTGTATTTTACAATTTTAGCAGTACATTTTGGATATTCTGTGTCATTTTAATATCTCTGGAAACAATGTGTATTAAGTACGTTGTGCACCTGTGAAGCAAGTGTATATATGCTAGTGCTATTCAGCATTTGTTTTCTTCTTTTTTTTTAGATCACCTTTTGCTGCTGTCACAGATTACTCAGTAACAAGAAATAATGTCATACAGCTCTGTCTGGAACTAACAACGATAGTACAACAGGTACGAGACCATCCGCTTAGCAATTTATTTTTTCCTGAATTGTAAATGGCCATTGCCTTCTCCACACAATTTTGTGTTACACTGTATATATCATTGCCTAACAAAAATAAGGGAATACTAGTACTTAGTAAATGTTTTATAAAAATTCTGCTTCCTGGTTTTATACTACTAGTTTGGGTTTTGCTGTGTATACGCCTCTGCGTATTTCAGTAGTTAAGATTAATCTTGGGTTCTCTAGTCTAATATCATCACTATAAATTTGTGAAATCTACTTGGTAATTTGCATATTTAATTTCTTGTGTTTTGTCTTTAATTTTTAATTGTCGGGTTCAAAAGGTTTGTATATATTGGATTTTAGTCATCTACTCTTTCATGCAATTCGTATCGTCTGGACATCTGTTAAGATGACACGTGTTCCCATGAGGCTAGAATATTTTAAATATATTTTTGTACATCCTACCTTCAAGAAATCCAGAAGTAGGTACTGAGAAGCACTGGCTTAACGGGCTTCATTTGGGAGTGCAATATAGAGAACCTTCCTCACCCTCCTTTTGCTTCTCTGTGTGTGGTTTAGGTCTGTCCCTGTCTTTTTTCCTGTTGTTCTGCTGAAACTGAAAAGCCTCTTTTGCTGCAGGTTCAAACTAATGTTGATATCAAATTCTGTAGAAATAACCTAGCAAGTTAAAGTAGTTCTATTTGGTTGAGCATCATCGTTTACCCTGGTGCCTGCATTTCTGAAAGCGGTCTGCTCCTGATGGCCGCGAAGGGCCTTGGTGCCACCTTACCCCATCCGTTGGCCTTGCGGCGCAGCAGTGCCCATCATGTGGAGGGAGGAGGGCCTGGAGAGGGTCGCCTCTCCTGGCGGCTCAGCAACAGCAGAGGGAAGGGACCACTGCTGCTAAGCAGAAGTTCAAGGGAGTATTTGCACTTGAGAAGGTGGAGTGAAGATAAAGGGAGAGAGTGGGGTAGGTAGGAGCACTGAGGAGACTTTTTCTGGTTTTCAGAAGCATTGCCCCAAACTGAGCAAAGCTTCTCCTGTGGCCTCTTGGCATGACTTTGTATGATGATACCCTCCCTTTTACAAAAGAAAGACATTTTTCTCTGACTCTTTGATAAATTTGTGCAACACTGATGATTAGTTGGGTTTGCCTCCCATCTGAGTTGGAGAAGAGCAGCATTGCTAGTTGCATGTGTTCAAGATTGGGAAATGAAACTGTCTTATTTTCCTGTATTATTAATAATAATTTTCCCTCATTTTTGTGTGGGATTTTTGATGTGGAAATGGAGAGTGGGCTGTTCCCTCAGCCCCCAGGCCACACAGCGAGGGTGTCTGTTTGCTTCCCAGGCCTGCCAGCCAAGGGGTACCCTGCCAGTCCTGTCGCTCAGCCGCCCCATGCTCCCCACTGCGCTTCTCCCCATCGCCCTGCCTCAAACTGGGACAGAGATGCTGGTGGTGGCGGCTGTGGAAGAAGAGCCTAAGCCTTCGTTTTCTTGGCTGCCTTTTGCGCAATGTGTGTTTTTTACCTGTTGTCCTGTGGCTTGTCGTGCCCTTGTTGAGCTGTGAGAAGGGGTCAGTACTCTGGGAAAAGGAGGCACAGAGGACACCCCTTCCACTTGACCAAACTGATCATTTTCCACAGAAGCAGCTGTGCATCACTGTCTAGTTTTTCAATTGAGGGGAAGAGCCACCTGATCTGTTTTCATGTGTCCACTATTAGTGAGAAAGAGGGTAAAATATCAACCACCGCAGTATATCCCAGGAATTAGCTCAATATCAGTTCATTTTCTTACAAATTCATCCCTATCCATGATACTGCTGATTTGCTATGGTGTAGGTAAATATTTCTCTATGTATATTTTTCAGTGTGAATGAGAGCAAATGTTACTATCTAATACCTTTGGAGAACAGCAGTTTTATCTTCATAGAATCATAGAATCATTTGGGCTGGAAGGGACCTTTAGAGGTCATCTAGTCCAACCCCCTGCGGTGAGCAGGGACATCTCATCTTCGCCAAAACTGACATGATTCCTCAATCAGGAAGCAGTTCAGTAAATGAATCCATACTTTGAAGTCAAAAGGAGCATTTATGTGCCTAAATTTAAGCATGCTCTGAAATTGAATTGGGCTGTAGTCAGAAGAATGATAATGAAAAATTCCATTAGTAGTCCCAAACACATGTGGTTTGATCTCTACTTAAAACAAATGCATTCCAACGTAGCATTTCAAAATGACTTCGCTGAGCTTTTCTTTTATATGATCAGTGAACACACTGAAAATCCTCATTGCGCTTTCTTAAGGCTGTAAATTGAATCTTTCAGTATCCCCTTATCAGATGTTTTTTCTGTCTCGGAATCTGTTTTCTTTTGTATGCAAAGTACTTTATATTACTTCACTAACTTACAATAATTTATAATTTAATGAAAAAATATCTTTTTGTTTGTGAAAGACCTACAGAAGGTGATGCTACAATTGTTCTTGTAACAGTAGCTAATAACAGATTTTTATAAAGTTTAGTGTTTTCTTTAAAAAATACATAGTCTGTACATTTTCTTATACCTTTTACTTTTTTGTTTAAGACATTCATACAATTTAAAAATATAACACTAGTATTCATCTCAGTAGCTGAGCACCGGCAGGACTGAAAACTGGGGGTTTTTTTTGTGTTGTTTAAGTTACAGTCAATGTTCAGATTTATTAACCAGAAATGATTCTTTACTCAAGATGGAGGGAAAAAAAGCTGAAATTAAGCTGGCTTACTTTAATTATTTTTGCATGTTTTGAAGCTAATTGTGATGTCACTGTTTCTTCATAGAATTAAGTGTTGTTGGGTTCCTCCTCCGCCTTGTTTATCAGTGCTAAATGGATAATGAAGAAAAAAAAGACACGAGTTATGGCGTTCTCTTACAAGTATGAAGTCCAAGAAAATCTATTGAGTGTCTGTGCTTTAACCTTTAAATAATTAGAAAAGTTGGAGTTGTTATGCCTACTTAGAGATAGACTTTGGAATAAAATGCAGAATGGCACATACTTTCTTTTAACCATTTCATTTTCTATGTGCATGGCACATTGCCCAGAACCCAACTAACGGGCCAGCGTGCAGTAGATATTTGCCAGTGGAAGCAGGTCCCTTGGAGCACTGCAAGTTATTATTGTAACCTGCTTTGCATTCGCACGAATCATCTGCTTCTATGCAGCTGTTTTATTTTGGCTTAGGGATTTTTTTTTTTCCTCCCCTTGGGACTTTAGGATATTGTTTCATAGGCACTTCCTGCAGGTTTTCACTTTTAATACCATCCTCCTTGCTGATGGCTTATTTAATTCAGGGCTTGCATTCTTGTTTCATTTTTATAATCAACTCTTCCCTTGCAGCAGAGCACTGGAGGGAAAAAAGAGGATTTAAATGACAAACAAATCCATGAGACTATCATGATTTTTGCTACCGTTCCCTTGCACTCTCTGCCTTTCTCTCCTACACTTACCTACCTCCCCACAGAAATCAGAGGCTGAGCATTATCTGTACTCTTTGCTTACACTGCAGTAAGTGAAAAAGACCTGTTCTTTCTTGATGGTGCAAGATAGGTGTTAAAGGGATATATATGGGTGTACAGGTTGAGGGGGCGGGGGGTGGAGATTGTTTTGGATTGTGCTTTTTTCTCTTTTGGTTCATTCATGAATTTAGGTTTGTGTCAGCAGAATTATTCCTCTCACAAATGCACATAAGGAAGAACATGAGTGACTCCTTGGCTTTATGGCGTTCATGAACGTCTTGCCTATTGGTTTAGTTAGTTGAGGTGTTCAGCTTCAGATGGTGCCAGGAACTGGTCCTTTTAAGTGTGCTTGTTTTGTTTTAGAAAGGTAGCAGTAGCTACAATGATAAGATTTATTGCTTTCTTAGGCAATCTGTAGGTCACTTTTATTATCATTCTCGATGCTCATATTCCTCAGGAACCCATTAAGGTTTCACTAAAGAAACTTTCTTCTTTGGAATTAAAACCCTGGAAATCTTGGGAATATCAAATTTTGGGAATCTAATTTTATATTGACTTTGTAAGTTATTAGACATTTGAAGAAAACTTTACTGCTGAACACTGTAGTTCTTATTGCTGTTTAGTAGGGATCAGTAGTAGCACTCGTTACATGTTTTTTACTTTCCTTAATCAGCTTTCACAATGATTCGATGTGTTTATTTAGTTTTAAAATCACTGATATTTATCTCACAGCTTTAAAGTCATGTGGGATTTACTTAGCAAGATGCTCCAGCAGAAGCATAGCTGTAGGCCTGTAAATACTCTTTTATAAAGCCTCACTGCAATTACTTCTCTGCCTAAACACCTTTTTGAAGGGAGACTATGCAGTGGAAGCAATTCTGTGTAACAGGCGTGGCGATGAACAGTCACTTGGCTGATATCTGGCTTGCACTGTTGTCACAGAATGTACTTCTGATATCATCTGTCTCACAGCAACATTTGGAGGTAAACTCAGATTTTTGGATAACACGGGGTAAGAACCTGAGTGACGTACTTTGGGAGGTAGTGGCCAGGATGGAAGATAGCTAGGAAAGACCAAGACAAATCATCCACAAATATTCTTTATGGACATACAGGCACCTGGGATTTTGAGCTAAAAACCCAAATATAGAGCAGTGCCCTGGGCACTGCCTAAGCTGAGTGATTTGGAGCTTATTCCCCATTTAAAGGTGTTTGAGATTCGAAAAAACAAGTGTCCATATACTCCATGCCCCGACGGACTTGCTTCGCATGCTAGAGGGGTAATCTTTGTTGGGCTTCTATCATTGCTATTTTTCAGATTAAAGATGTTGAAAAACATCGCAAATTATTTCTTGAGTAATGCACTATTTTTGTATAACATCGCATTTTTCTATAATCAATTGACTGTAACTTAGGTGACGAATGTCTCAGATGTCTCACTGAGAAACTAAGTACCGTCTTGTTTTCCAGTTTAAAGGATAAAAAGGGAATTTACTTTCTTAGCCACCTGT